CACGTGGTCACCAGCCTTACACCACGGCGGCATTGCCTCCTTGGACGATTACTCTGTAAATAAATGTGACCGGACGAGATGTCACGCAGATAATGCCAAACACATTTATTGAACTATTGTGGATAAATATGACGCAATCACGAAACCTATTATTAATAACTCCGCGCATTGTAACTGTTAACGTTGGACTTCTTTCGCACCGTACGTAGCCAACCGTGCTTAATCAGAGCGGATTGGGAGTGGTGGCGCAGCGGTTAGCGAGCTGCAGGCTTAGCACGAGGACTTGTAACAGGGCACTTTGGAGGCAGCGAGGGTTGGTTGGTGGATGACCGCACACACGTTGTGAACTCCCTTCTTCCCGTGGGTGTCGAGGTGTCATAACCCTGGCTCGCCAGAAGAGGGCGGTACAACACAAATGTGGACAATCTTAATTTTGGAGCTTTCGTGACTGCAGGAATTATTCTTGGTTCTTTCGGTTAAGTCACGTCTAAAGATAAAATAATAAATTAAATAATAGCATATTACGACGTTTCGATTGCAACACAAGCAATCATCATCAGGCATCAAAGAAATAGCAACAAAAATCTAACTAGAAAACTATAGACAAGACATACAAGCAGACAGACATCACAAGGACACACACTCTTTTGTGCCGATATGTGTCCTCTCTCTGTGTGTCATTGTGATGTCTGTCTGCTTGTATGTCTGTCTATAGTTTTCTAGTTAGATTTGTGTTGCTATTTCTTTTATGCCTGATGATGATTGCTTGTGTTGCAATCGAAACGTCGTAATATGCTATTATTTATTTTATTATTTTATCTTTAGACGTGACTTAACCGAAAGAACCAAAGAACAAATGTGGACTCCACCGTCTGTATGAGATAGAGTGTTCCCCCTCGCACGCGTGTTTATCTCGCCACCGTAGGGCGCCACGAGATGTTAACTACCTCGCCTGGTATACAGGAGGTCGTGGGTTCGATCCCGACCCTTGACGCCTGCTGCTGTATATTTGGTGAGTTTGCGGTGTCTCTCTCTCTGCCCGTGGTCGCGTGTATTTTTATCCGGGTCCTCCGGTTTTTCCCTCCACATTTATGAACACGCGTTTAGAGTAATTTGGCTGCTTTACATTTCCACGTGATGGCAAGCCACCTCGCTGAGCTGTCACTTGTGACCAGGTCACTTCTGCAAAAGATCCATATAGCTCAGTGGGTCTTACCTGGTAAAATAAAAAATGTGTTTAAATAATTTGTAGTTTCAATTTCCTGCTAAATGTAGGCACTCATTATTTGGCAAATAACTGAATATACAGAGGACCGCAGAGCTCGGGAAACTGTTGGCAGCTCAAGCTACCCGAGTTTAATTCCCGGCTCACGGCCAACAACAACAACAACAACCAGTGGAAAGTGATATCTGAACTGAACCGATCCTGTGCAACACCGATCCATTCATCAACAATCTGCACCGATCAAAGTGGTGAAGTATAGTCAAACAACGTGTCCGTTACGGACATGACGTGGGGGAAGGCCTTCATCCAGCAGTGGAGTGACAGAGCCGTATTTAACCATTATTCGGTATTACTCTAATATAACAGACAGGTTATTGTTTTACTCTTATTTATGTAGTGACATCGCTGGATGTCAACATGCTGGGTGCAGTGCCGGCTCGAGAGGGGCCCGGTGAGCGCTGATTGATAGCGCTGGATGGCACCACGCTTGGCGTGCAGTGCCGACCCTACAGGACAGGGTGTGTGGGTGCAGGCAGAAGGATGGGGGTAACTCGAGGCCATGGCGCTCTGGTTGACCCGGGAGGACACGTGACCAGTTAAGTCTACAAAGGGGCCCCAAGCGGGGGCTAGAGGTGGTCACGTGATTGGGACCCAGATCCTTCCCGAGGGTTCTGGAAGGTGGTCGTGGCCAAGGGCAGAGCCGGCCACGCCGCAGAGAATATCAGCCGGGTCCCGGTTGTTGTTCATCCTGTAAGAAACCTTCATCTTCGTTCTCCGTTCAACGAGTCTCCAACACGTGGACCCGGGCCAAAGCTGTTGGTCCCGGTCCGTAGTAGCCGTTACATTGTGACTAGTGTAGCTAAACTGGTGGTCACCACCCGGTTAACTACACCAGTTATGTAGTGACTAGTGTAGCTAAACTGGTGGTCACCACCCGGTTAACTACACCAGTTACGTAGTGACTAGTGTAGCTAGACTGGTGGTCACCACCCGGTTAGCTACACCAGTTACGTTGTGACTAGTGTAGCTAGACTGGTGGTCACCACCCGGTTAACTACACCAGTTACGTAGTGACTAGTGTAGCTAGACTGGTGGCCACCACCCGGTTAACTACACAAGTTACGTTGTGACTCGTGTAGTTACTAGTGTAGTTAACCTGGTGGTCACCACCATAGGTTGTTATTCTGTTAAGGGGAAAGTTACCCCGTGTGTGATGCCTCCAAGTCTACGTCTACGACTCAGTTGAACCCATTACATATACAATGTACTGTAAACTACTAAGTTGACCTGCAGCCACGTCTACAGCACTGAAGTCACGCTGCTGCCTGCCACAGGTGTCCGATTCTATGCTTGTATCACTTGAAGTCAAAGGGAAGGTCCACACCTCTGTAGGGAAGCTCCAAACTTCTGTAATGAAGGTCCAAACCTCTGTAGGGAAGCGCCACACCTCTGTAGGGAAGGTCTACACCTCTGTAGGGAAGGTCCACACCTCTGTAGGGAAGGTCCACACCTCTGTAGGGAAGGCCAAAACCTCTGTTGGCCACGTCCTCTTTGGGGCCTCTCTCCCATTAAGCCGTCCGGCCTTTTGTTTGTAAAAGGGAGATTGTAAGGGCACAATGCCCGGCTCAAGTGCGCGAGGAAGACCACAGAGGGATTCCGCGGATGGATAACGTCAAAGCGTGGTGGACGAGGCTCACGCGGGAACAGACAACGAGAGGATAGGTAGGGGATATGAGTCAGTGGCGAAGGATTGGCCGTGGTTGCGGTTCAACCCCTCTGATCGAGGACGGCTGAAGACAAGAGAAGACCCTCCGCTGTGCTAATCCTCCACCCCAACCCTCCACCACCCGCGGCCTCTTACGTTTCGGCACCTTTCCCTTTTGAAGGCCCTCGCCTCTCTCGTGTTGGCCCAGCACCGCACCACTCCCCCTTGTGCACAGGGGGGGGGGGGTGGGTGGGTTGGGCTGCTTTAGGTGGAGGTTGTGGGGGTGGGCGGGGGGTAGGGAGGGGTGAGTTGGGGGGGGAGCAGTGGAAGTGGGGCGGCTTTGAGATGACCACAGTCCCTCTTGGGGCAGCAGTGCAATCGCCTCTACTCAAGGCGCCTCCACTCAAGGCTTCGCGACGCGCCTCACGATACGGTGACGCGGAATGGAACGGCGCAGGTGCCAGGGGCGTAACAAGGATCGAGGAATGAGTGACAGCAGCGAGAGAGGGGGGTACTTTGGGATCACGAACTGGCTATGAGGGGGGGGGGGGCAGGAAGGAGTGGAGAGGATAAGGGAGGGAAGAGGAAGGGAATGGGGACGTGGCGAGGCTTTAAGAGAGGAACGGAAAGAGGTTAAGGAGGAGGACTGCGTAATGCACAGGGGAAGTTGATTCCAGTGGAGGGGTGCAAGGAGGGATAGGGATCAAACACGGGGACTGGGCACGGTGAGGAGGGACAGAGAGAGAGAGAGGAGATTGCAAGACGAGAGGGGGCATGGAAGGAGATGACAGAGGCGATATGAGGTGTGGCAAGAGCATGAAGGGACCCACGAACTAGCGGTCATATTTGAAAAGACAGCGGTGTCGTGAATGGGGAGCCAGTAGAGTTGAAGGAAAACTCGGATTTCTTTAAACACATTCCTCATTCAAACTTAAATTTGAGCTTTCGTGACTGCAGGAATGATTCTTTGGTTCTTTCGGTAAAGTCACGTATAAAGATAAAATAATAAATTAAATACTAGCATACGACGTTTCGATTGCAACACAAGCAATCATCCTCAGGTATAAATTAAATAGAAACACAAATCTAGTATACTTAGAAATGTAATGTCTGGTTGATTACGTTCTTCCTGAGAATGCTAAATTTGAGAGAGAGATTAAACACAGAACTAGAAACATACATATGTATCTCTGTGATATCTGTCTGCTTATATGTCTGTCTATGTTTCTGGTTCTGTGTTTAATCTCTCTCTCAAATTTAGCATTCTCAGGAAGAACGTAATCAACCAGATAGGGTGTTGACTGTTATGTTATCCGACTCTCTGTTGTATTACATTACATTTCTAAGTATACTAGATTTGTGTTTCCATTTAATTTATACCTGATGATGATTGCTTGTGTTGCCATCGAAACGTTGTATGCTAGTATTTAATTTAATTTAATATTTTATCTTTATACGTGACTTTACCGAAAGAACCAAAGAATACATTCCTCATTAGTGATGTGTGGAATGACTACAGTTCTTCCCTGACATATGTCCAGAGTGGAAGAGTAGGCCAAGAATAGCCTCTCTCCAGAGGCTCCCACGAGTGGGAGACCCTCCCCGAGCAGTGAGCATGTGATCGATTTCAAGACCGCGCCTCTAACGCTTTTATTTTTGACGGGAGATTTCGGGAGCGTTTCACCAACTCCTGGTGAGAACACTCGCCACACAACGTCCGGATAGGCCTCGATTTGTAACCAATTTAGAGTCGACGGAGGGATGATGATGACTATTCTTAGGTTTTTTCGGTAAAGTCACGTAGGTAAAAAATGTAAATTAATAAAATAAAAATAAAATAAAAATCACGACGTTTCGGACGCAACACAAACTCCTCTCACGTGATACAGCTATCGGGCTGTGACTGTTCCACCTGAAGACGGAAGCTTGTGTTGCCTCCGAAACGTCGTGATTTTTATTTTATTTTTATTTAACTTTTATTAATTTAAAATTTTTACCTACGTGACTTTACCGAAAAAACCTAAGAATATGAATCCTTGCAGTCACGAAAGCTTCTAATCTAGAATGATGATGACTGGCTGTTGGTAATGATGATAATTTCCCGATGACAGTGATGCGGATGATGATGGTTCGATGGCGGGGCTGATGATAATTGATTGTTCATTGCTGCTGATTAATGGCTACCAGTTGCTGATGATGATTGGGTGCAGCTGATTAATCATTATCATGAGTTGGAGCCGATGATGATGATGACGATGGGAGCAGTGCCGGATTAAGCTAGTGCGAGGCCTGTAGCATATGTTTTAAAGGGGCCCTAAATAAAAAATAAAACACGTAAATATTAGAACACAAAATGTTTTACTTGCACAGTAAAGTAATTGTCTTTTTTTTATTTGCTATACAGACAGATAATACGACAAATCATAATAAAGGTTTTTGGGTTAAATCGCGTTATTTATAAATGTGTCGCAATCCTCCACCACCCGACACGGCCAATCAGTAAAAAATGTGTCACGTGGACAAAAGACAAATAGTTCACTGCTTTAGCCCACCGGTGTGTTGAAGAGTGAATCCACAACATTTACAATTTTTGAGTAGTACGACGTTTCGCTGGTCATTATATCAACCAGCATCATCGGGCAATTAGCCAGAATAATGAAACCCATTCAGGCGCAGTGATTTGAGGCGGAGGGGGGGGTATTGTAATTATATAATAGATTAGTAATCAGTCAATTGTTATGATTAGCAATCAGTTGTAGATTAGTAATTAGTTGTAATGTGTATTATTCAACAACTTAACCCAATCATTATACCCAAGCAGGCGCAGAGATCAGAAGGGGGCGGAAGGGGGGAGATGGTTATTGTAATTATATACTATGTTTGTAATCGGTTAATTAGTATGTGTTTCCCCTATAAGGAATTGTAATATGTATTATTTAATAATACGCTTCCAGGCCGCACTAAGCCTGTAGCTGTCAGAGCGATTAAAGTTATTTGTATTTCTCTCAATTTCAATGGATTCTCTAATTAGTCTTGGCCAGTAATAATTAGTTTTACACAACACTTCAACGTTATCAAAATCAATTGAGTGTCCTTGTTGGCAAGCATGTTCTGCCACTGCCGACAGTTGTGTTTGAGATAATTTAATATTTCTTTGGTGTTCTTTTAGTCTTACGCTGATGTTACGTCCCGTCTGTCCAATACAGCATCTGCCATATAAACAATTAATCCGATATACACTTTCTGTTATTAATTCAGGTAATTCGTCTTTAGTGCAAGATACTAGTTTTTGAATTTTGTGTACTGTACCAAATCTTACTGGGCTAAAGTAGTGAACTATTTTGTCTTTTGTCAAAGTGACACATTTTTTACTCACTGGCCGTGTCGGGTGGTGGAGGGTTACGACACATTTATAAATAACGCGATCTAACTTAAAAACCTTTACGATTAATATTGGTCGCGAAAGCCTACGTGTTAAATACGACAAATAGCTAACCTTAAACACCCAGTCGTTCATAAAAGTTGAAGGCAGTATAGTACTATAGTAATAGAGCAAGTGCAGAATCACTGAACAGGAATTGATAGCTTGAAATCATTTAGCGTGGGGCCCTTGAAAGTGCGGGGCCCGTAGCATATGTAGCTACTTTTGCGACTAGCATAATCCGGAACTGGATGTGAAGTGGCTTTAATACCCTCATTTTGATGATTCGTCGATAGTGGCGGTGATTTCTGCTGCTCTTGCTGATAATGCGAATGATCATTGATGGTGGTGGTGATGATTGTAAGCTGATGCTGATTATGACGACGCTGCTGATTATGACGACGCTGCTATTGCTAATGATGCTGACGATGATGATGATGATGACAACAATCCAGAACTATCGATGGGCAGTGACACGGCCCAGCGGGAGTGCGTTCGCGGCTCGTTGTTGGAGAGTCTTCGCGGTTCAAATAAAAACCGCGGCCCCGATTAATACGCCGGGTGTATTGACCGTCAAAATACGCGGCCGTCTGCAGCACAGTGGTCGTTTGAAGATCGCGTGGCGTCACTGGCAAGAGTAGGCCACTGCGTGCCGGCGTCACGGTGACAAATTTGATAAGTTTGATAAAAATAGAAGTTAATTGTATTATACACGCGGGAGCGATCAGAACCCTCCTGAAAATAAAATAAATGTCACGAGGCTATGTCAAACTTTCCTGGGTAAACAAGTTTAACAATAAAAAAATAAATCGATACAAACGAAAAAAAACCGCTCCATCCCGGTCATGTTTTTGAAAAAGACGTCCACCACCACCATCACCACCGTCACGTACCCCAACAATCTCTTCATCACCAGGCACCGCCGATCTTCAATTCATCTGGAGAAGCGACCACCGTCCTTGGCTCTCCCATCACGGCTTCCTCAACTTGCCCTATCTCCTCACCTCCTGCTCGCCGGCACTGCCACCACCACCAACACCACCGCCACCATCATCATCCGACACGTGCACGGGTGGCACCAGGCTGTAGTAATGATCAGGCGCGGGTAGATTCACGTATATGGACACCTCCTCCTCGTGCTCCTGCTCCTCCTGCTCATCTTCACCTTCCACGTGCACATCCGTCTCCTCCATCATCGTCGGCGCATGCTCCTTGGATCTGTTCGGCGTGGGAAGGTTCTGATACTCAGACTCGGGGCGTTCCGTGCCCAGCTGCAGCAGCAACCCGGCACGCCGATCGAACCCCGCCGACACCGCGGCCGAGAGGTCTGACCTCGACCCACCCGGGCCTGACGCCGCCGCCGCTGCTGTCGCCGCCGATGCTTCTGCGGACAACGAGGCCGACGAGGACGACGACGCCTTTGCGAGGGGCCAATTCTCGTAGGGGCTCGGGTCACACGTGCCGGCATTCGCCCGGTCACCTCCTCCGCCGAATTCTCTCTCTCGCCGAGGGCTCGGCCTGTAGATGTAGCTGTCGTGCTGGGCATCAGAGCCGCGGATTCGAGAGTTGAGGCCCGACTTGTGGCTGGGGCAGCAGCGGCGACAGGAGGAGGAGGAGCAGCAGGAGGAGATGACGGGGTCGAGGTGGCGCTTGCATCCCAGGTAGAGCGTGGCGATTATCAGAGCCACCGCGACGGTCCCTACGCACGCGTACACCGCCGTGTGTGACTCCTTGCAGATGTGTTCGCGTGACACATTGGTCAAGGACTGTCCCGACAAACTCTCCGGAATCGCGCAGTCGACGAAGATCTGTGGCCCGGACGACGACGACGACGAATACTGCACCTCTGCCATCCTTTTCACCGCCTCGTACAAGTCGCAGTCGCACGCGATGGGGTTGCCCCTCGCGTCCAGAGCGGTCAGCCCCCTGTGGGCGATGGACCGCGGCAGGTGCGTCAACTCGTTCTCGCCCAGGTAGACCTCGTCGAGGTCACGAGCCTCGCCGAGGAACGGCTCGGGCAACGTGGTCAAGGCGTTCCCGACGAGGTAGACGGTGCGCAGGGCCGGAACTGCGGGGATGTCCACGACGCGCAGGCCGCAGTGGGACAGGTCGAAGACTTGGAGCGACGTGAAGTTGAAGGTCGCCCTGAGTTGCTCGAGGGAGCGCGCGCAGCCCGAGCCAGAGACGTTGAGGCAGCAGGAGCCGGGGTCGGTGGCGTTCCAGGCAGTGGGCTTGCACGTGCGGCACCGCGGAGGAGATTTGTTGGCGGTGGTCTTGGGCGGAGAGAAGGACGAGGAGACGCAGAGACGCAGCAGCAGCAGCAGGAGGAGGAGGGGGGTGCCGTTGTGGGACATGGTCTCGACTCTGAGAGATGGGAGGAAAGGGAGCGTGAGTGAGTAAGTGTGTGTGAGTGATTGAGGTGCTCGCTAACAGCACTTGCCCCTACAGTCTGTTAAGGCTATATGGGGAATCTTTATATTTATCTTTGTGGTGGTGGTGTAGCGGTTAGGGGCCGTCCATAAATGACGTAACGCACCTGGGGGGAGGGGGTGGGGTCAGACATTTGTGACGATGTGTGACGAGGGGGGGGTGGGGTGAGAAATGTGACGTCACATCAAAATGCGCAACTTTAAATAAGTATAGACAACACGTTCTACTTAATTAAATAGACTTTTTCATAAATGTTTTCCCCTACAACATCAGAGTGCAGCGGCACATTAAATACGCACTACAATGACAATAGTTTAAAGCGATTTGAAGCATGTTTTATTTTGGGGGGGGGGGGGCAGAGCTTTGTGACGTCATATTTGAGGGGGGGTCTGATTTTTATGACGCCCTGTGACGTCAAAAATTGCGTGACGTCATTTATGGACAGCCCCTTAGCGCTACGCTGTGCTACGGAAACCCGACGACCCGAGTTCGATACCCGCTCACGGCCAACACCGGTGACGATTACCTGAACCGTTCCTGGGCCTCCTCTAGGTCGACTCAGCCTCAAATGAGTACCTGGTGCGGTGTGTAGTAAACATGGCCACTGGGGAGACAAAGGCGGCCGGGCGTGGTGTTGGCCACCCATCCCATCGTGTGCCGTTCCAACCTTTCATAGGTGCTCGCTAACGGCACTTTCCCCTACAGTCCGTGAAGGCTACACGGGGGATCTTTGTCTCAGCGTGCGTACCGTACAACAGTCTATGTATATACTGCACTAGCTTTACTACCCGGCTTCGCCCGGGACTTGGATTCAACTTTGACTCCCCAGTGACGATGTTCACACACCACACCAGTTACTCGTTTGGGGCTGAGTCGACCTAGGGGAGGCCCAGGAGCGGTTCAAAACTTCAAATAATCGTCACCGGTGGTGGCCGTGAGCGGGAACGAACTCGGGTCGCCAGGTTCGTAGCGCAGCGCGCTAACCACTACACCACCGCTCCCCACACACACAGACACACACACGCAGACACACACACAGACAAGACAAACACACAGAAAGTGCACTAACCACTACACTACCGCTCCCCCCCACACACACAGACACACACACAGACAGACACAGACACACACACAGACACACACACAGACAAGATACAAACACACAGACAGCGCACTAACCACTACACCACCGCTCCCCCCACACTCACACACACGTGCGCGCGTCCATAGGTACACACACACGCGCTTGCTGCAGACACACACAACTTTCAGGGTGCGTACGGCAGTAAACGACTGAAATAATAAAGCGGCAATGCTGCGCGAAGAACGCCTTAGACCTGCAACACATTTGTATGGCGCTTTACTCGCGGAGAGTTGGGGGGGGGGGGTGCGTGACGTCAGCAGGCACACTGCGCGACGCTTCTGCACACGGGTCACTTGACAGCTGTGACATCACAGCTCACTTGCCATGCAAAATATATGCATCTTCTTAGGTATTTTTGGTAAAGTCACGTAGGTAAAACATTAAAATTAATAAAAGTAAAATAAAATAATTTTAATTTTAAAATAATTTTAATGTTTTACCTACGTGACTTTACCGAAAATACCTAAGAAGATGAATCATTGCACTCACGAAAGCTTCAAATCTAGAATTAAGATATATGCATTATTGTGCCCCCCTCCCCCCCCCAAAAAATACAAAAGTCAATTTTTATAATTGTTGCATGGTGTACAGTCTGGAAAGTACTGTACCCACATGGCAAATTTCAAGTTTTTTGCATGTCGGGAAGTACGCTAAACATTTTGAACAGACACACATATTCACAAATTTGCCTTTCATATATATTGATGATGATGATGATACAGCACATTGGGAATCAACGCGGAACTTTGCTAGAGAGTGCATGGGAGTGTGGCTCTGTGGGCAGCGGTGGTTCGTGCCCTGCGCTACGAACCCGGTTCACCCGAGTTCGACTCCCACCCACGGCCACCCAACACCGGTGACCATTACTCGACTCGATCCTGGGCTTCCCCTAGGTCAGGGGTCGGCAACCAAAATAACAAGAAGAGCCATTTCTTTCCAATTCGGTACAAAATTCAGTATTTCAAGAGCCGCAATGCATCTGAGTACATACGTGCATATCGTCAAGAAGCAGCCCGTAAAGAGCCGCATGCGGCTCCGGAGCCGTAGGTTGCCGACCCCTGGTCTAGGTCGACTCAGCCTCAGATGAGTACATGCCTGTTGCGGTGTGTAAACATCAGCAGTGGGGAGACAAAGGCGGCCGAGCGCAGTGCAGGCCACCCCCCCCCCCCTCGTGTGCCGTGCCGGCCTTCATAGGTGTGACAGCAACTTGCCCCAACTGTAAAAAGGCTACACGGGGGATCTTTGTCTGGATGTGTTACATTGTGGGTGGGTGTCCTAATGGGGGGCGAGGGGTGGATCTTGTGTCTTTTGTGTCCTCATCGAAACGGCCGCACGCGCAGCCGCAAGATGACTTCCTCCTCTCCTCTTCTCTTGCGCGTGTCTCTCGACGCGAGAGAACGCGTGCCGTGGCCGTGGCAGATACGGAGGTGCCGGGAGAGGGGGGGGGGGTGCGAGTGGTTAGCTTATTCACGATGGCCCGGTCCCGTCGAGGAACCAAACCCCCCCCCAAGGGATTAAATCGGTTCCAAGTTTTTTTTGTCCGCCGCGCGAGTGCTCGAACCGCTCCTCGAGCCCAGCGGAGTCGATGCACCTCGGCCCCGTCATCTGTCTTTCACGGGGACCCACAGACTCGCATAGAGACCCATAGACTTGCATGGAGACCCATAGACTCGCACGTAGACCCATAGACTCGCATAGAGACCCATAGATTCGCACGTAGACCCATAGACTCGCATAGAGACCCATAGACTTGTATGGAGACCCATAGACTCGCACGTAGACCCATAGACTCGCATAGAGACCCATAGACTCGCACGTAGACCCATAGACTCGCATAGACACCCATAGACTCGCATAGAGACCCACAGACTCGTATAGAGACCCATAGACTCGCATAGAGACCCATAGGCTTGCATGGAGACCCATAGACTCGCATAGAGACCCATAGACTTGCATAGAGACCCATAGACTCGCATAGAGACCCATAGACTCACATAGAGACCCATAGACTCGCATAGAGACCCATAGACTCGCATAGAGACCCATAGACTCGCATAGAGACCCATAGACTCGCACGTAGACCCATAGACTCGCATAGACACCCATAGACTCGCATAGACACCCATAGACTCGCATGGAGACCCACAGACTCGCATAGAGACCCACAGACTCGCATAGAGACCCATAGACTCGCATAGAGACCCACAGACTCGCATAGAGACCCATAGACTCGCATAGAGACCCATAGACTCGCATAGAGACCCATAGACTCGCTTGGAGACCCATAGACTTGCAGATACCCATAGAATCATACAGAGACCCATAGACTCGCATAGAGACCCATATACTCAGAGACCCAGACTCACATAGGGACCCATAGACTCGCACAGAGACCCATAGACACACACAGACCCATAGACGTACATATACATACTCCCAGAGACACATAGACTTACATAAAGACCCATATACATACGTAGACTTACAAAGAGATCCATAGACTCACATAGAGACACGGATATGTGCATAGAGTACACAGACTCACGTAAGACTGAGATTTGAATAAAACATATATTTCCTTTTCTTTTTTTAAACAAACAAGTAGAGGAAGATTTGAGTCGACAGTAATGTGCCAATCGACGTTGCAAACGACATTGTAAACGTTCTGGTTTGTGTACACACAGTAGGAGAGAGTTACAGCCGGAACTTCCTTTTGTGAAATAGCGGATGGAGACACTTCCCTCCAGCATCATCAGCAGCAGCATCAGCAGCAGCAGCATCAGCAGCAGCATCATCAGCAGCAGCAGCATCATCATCATCATCAGCAGCAGCAGCAGCAGCAGCAGCATGATCATCAGCAGTAGCAGCATCAGCAGCATCATCAGCAGCAGCATCAGCAGCAGCATCATCAGCAGCAGCAGCATCATCAGCAGCAGCATCATCAGCAGCAGCAGCATCATCATCAGCATCAGTAGCATCAGCAGCAGCAGCATCAGTATCAGTAGCATCAGCAGCATCAGCATCAGTAGCATCATCATCAGCAGCAGCATCAGCAGCAGCATCATCAGCAGCATCAGCAGCAGCATCATCAGCAGCAGCAGCATCATCAGCATCAGTAGCATCATCAGCAGCAGCATCAATAGCATCAGCAGCAGCATCAGTAGCATCATCAGCAGCAGCATCATCAGCACCATCATGAGCACCAGCAGCAGCATCAGGAGCAGTAGCATCATCATCAGCAGCAGCATCAGCAGCAGCATCATCAGCAGCATCAACAGCAGCATCATCAGCAGCAGCAGCATCATCAGCAGCAGCAGCATCAGCATCTGTAGCATCATCAGCAGCAGCAACATCAGCAGCATCATCATCAGCAGCAGCAGCATCATCAGCAGCAGCAGCATCAGCAGCAGCAGCATGAGCAGCAGCATCAGCAGCATCATCAGCAGTAGCATCAGCATTAGCAGCAGTATCATCAGCAACAGCAGCATCATCAGCAGCAGCATCATCAGCAGCAGCATCATCATAATCAGCAGCATCATCATAATCAACAGCAGTGACAGTAGCAGCGGCAGCATCATCATCATCATCAGTAGCATCATCATAATCAGCAGCAGTAGCAGTGGCAGCCACATCATCATCAGCATCATCATCATCATCATCAGTAGCATCATCATAATCAGCTGCATCATCATAATTAGCAACAGTGGCAGTAGCATTGGCAGCAGCATCAGCAGCAGCATGAAAATCATCAGCATCAGCATTATCATCAGCAGCATCATCATAATCAGTGGCAGTAGCATCGGCGGCAGCATTATCATCAGTACCATAATCATTAGTAGCATCATCATAATCAGCAGCAGTCGTAGTAACATTGGCAGCAGCATCATCAGCATCATCATCATAATTAGCAGTAGTGGCAGTAGCATCGGCAGTGGCAGCAGCATCATCAGCAGCATCAGCAGCAGCGGCAGCAGCAGCATCCGCATCATAATCAGCAGCAGTGGCAGCAGCAACATTAGTAGCAGAATCATCAGTGTCATCATCACTAGCGCAGCAGCATCAGCATAATGATAATCAGCATCATTATTAGTAACATCAGCAGCAGCATCAGCAGTAGCATCAGTGTCAAGAGCAGTCGCATCATGAGCAGAAGAATATTCAGAATCATCATCAGCAGCAGTAGCAATATCGTCAACAGTAGAATCATCGTCATCAGCAGTATTTATCATTTTGATGTAAAGCTTTCGTGACTGCAGGGATTCATATTCTTGGTTCTTTCGGTAAATAATTTTTTTTTCTTGCTGTGAATTTCACACCTGATGATGATTGCTTGTGTTGCAGTCGAAACGTCGTGAGAATTGTAATTGTATTATATTTATATTATTTTATTACTTCCCTTCTACGTGCCTTTACCGAAAGAACCAAGAATATAGTATCTATCATCTTCAAAACATCATCAACAATTCATCAGCAGCAGCATCATGAGCAGTAGCATGAGCATCATCAGCAACAGCAGCAGGAATTCAATCAGCAACAGGAGTACTATCATTGATAATGCACGCTATAAGCAGATAATTTCACCAATAATTACAATGTGGAACAAAAAAAATGTTATACGTGTTATCTCCTAATTTCTTATGCCTCAAAAGTACAGAAAGTGGCTATTATTCCCCACAAACTTTGCTTTTGTGACCAGGACAGTGATATTTTTAAATGTAACTATTTTCAATGAGAAAACGTGGTGTGCATTTGTGTCATTCCTTCACATAAAGTCCTGGTCACAAAAGCAACGTTTGTGGGAAATAATAACCATTTTCTATACTGTTTAGGCATAAGCAATTTAAAAATAACACTTACTACCCAGGAACAAAAATAGTGTTACATCGTGTTACCATCAGGTGCGGTGTGTAAACGTCGCCACTGGGGAGACAAAGGCGGCCGTGAATGGTGTTGGCCACCCACCCCCTCGTGTGCCGTGCCGGCCTTCAGAGGTGCTCGCTAACAGCACTTGCCCCTACAGTCTGTTAAAGGCTACACGGGGGATCTTTGTCTTGTGTGTGCACGTGTCACCCGCGCCTTGTGAGAGCGCCAACCAACTGGGCAGATATAACTGTGTCGTTAAACCCGCCACCACCCGACACAGCCAGTTAGTAAAGGTTTGTCACGTAAACAGAACATGGCCAAGTCGTCACTAGTACAGCCACACCGGTGTGTTGGAGAGCCAAGCCACAACATTTACAATCTGAGTACGACGTTTCGTCAGTAATTACAACTAGCTTCATCAGGCCGACAGCCAGATTTGTGCAGTTTACCCACATTGTGCCCCACCAGGCGCACCTCAATGCACAGACAGCCCTTTGCGAATCCATTCCTTGATGAAGGGCCTTCTCCACCCGGCACTGACCATACTTCACCACTCTGGTCAGCGCGGGGAGCAGACCCACGTCATCATAATAATCGGGAGTGATGATAGCCGTGACCTTAAACGTGGTACCCCAACCCCTCCCAACACACACCAAATATTTACTAAATGAATATCCCAAATGTAATTTCGACCTGTCACCGATATTTCATTTCATGCCAATCTCTACCTGTCTCGACGCAGAGCCCCTCCCTCCCTCCCTCCCCCCACCATTGTTAGTGTCAAACACGCTCACTTAATGAGTAGCCGTCAGTGAAATCGTCAATCATCGATCGCACTCCTATTAACAAGAAGCTAATAGCCTCGGCGTTTCCCTCCCTCCTGGCTGGCCGGCTGGCTGCTGGCTGGGCTCCGTGGCTGCCACCATAGCAGAAGCAGAATCAGAATCTTTATTTATACTGGAGGAATCCGATGCGCTATTAAGCTCGTGTTCGCGGATGTCCAGAAGGGGCGCGGGGTGAGAACGTCACAACAAACAGTACAACAAACACGATGGTAGTGGAAAGCACAAGAGAGGTAAACACATGACCCAGACGCATACAAATACAACTAAACCGACCACATCCTATCAGGCAAAACCCCGCTGAGGCATTCACTTCTTTTTCAGAAGCGACCTGGCCACAAATGATAGCCGCTCAACAAAGTGGTCCCATCATTTGGACATTTATAGCAGCAAAATCATCGCAATGCCATGTTTCTAAATGTGCCGGGGAAAACCGGAGGACCGGGAGGGAAAAACATTTCACGTGACCACGGGGCGAGAGCGACACGCAAACTCCAAATATACAGCAGCAGGCGTCAGGGTTGGGATCGAACCCACGACCTCCTGTATACCAGGCGAGGTAGTTAACATCTCATAGCCACCGTGATAATGAGAGAGACACGCAAAATCCAAATATACAAAATATACAGCAGGCGTCAGGGTCGGGATCGAATCCACGACCTCCTGTACACCAGGCGAGGTAGTTAACATCTGCAAGCCACCGTGATGATGATGAGAGAGACACGCAAACTCCAAATATACAGCAGCAGGCGTCAAGGGTCGTGATCGAATCCACGACCTCCTGTAAAAACTCACGACCTCAACGGGGATTTTCCACGTAACACAAAAAAACATAAAATTGCAGCGGCGAAAGAGGACGTTGGGAGAAAGAACAATTACTAATGATAATAATGATGATGATAGGGTATAAACATCTATAAGAGGTGGCAGTAACGAACACGGGAGACCGGCGGCCACGATTCGTCTAAAATCGCACAAGACGCGGGGAATTTATTGGCCCGGGTGCCCCGGTTTCAATCGTGCATTTGCATAATAAACACAACTCATTATTATCATCATCATCATCATCATCCATCGGGTGAAAACATCTTTAATTAAACAAATGAACAGCTAATTTAAGATCGTTATGAAAAATAAGAGTCTGACAACTTAGCGTGTAAAATTTCGATTTAAAGCTTTCGTGACTGCAGGGATTCATCTTCTTGGTTTTTTCGGTAAAGTCACGTAGAAGGGAAGTAATAAAATAAGAAATTATTTTATTATATTATTTTATTATATTTTATTTTTATTATTTTATTACTTCCCTTCTACGTGACTTTACCGAAAAAACCAAGAAGAACTTAGCGTGTCTATCTTGGATAAGTAAATATTAATACAGGTTATTAATCGTTTTAAGATCGAGGCGGGTTACGTAAAATCAACTTGTAACGCACACACAGAAAATATACATACATACACCCAACGCAGGTCCAAACGGAGGCAAAACTAAAAAAAAAACACACGAATTTAAATTCTATTTACCAGAACGCCGACAGATGCCGAAGACGTTTGGTCGAGATAGTTGGTGGAAGGTCTCTGATGTAGGCAGTGGAGCGAGCCGGCCCCTGTCTCCAATGCAGTCGGAGTAGGAGGAGGCTTTGGATGCGGGGTTGATGCTAGCGGTGATTGTGATCGTGTTGGTGGGTGGAGCAGGTAAGGGGAAGGTGTGAGCGTGAGCTGCCCCGACTCACACGCATGGAGTGTGTGGAACATGGAACTCACCTGGGGCTTTCTCTCACCTGGTTCATTCATATACGACGAGGACAAATTACATAACACAATATCTAAGCGGACAATGCATCGCTTTGATGTATCCGTCTCGCTGCACTTTCAATTATTTAGTAAAACATTCTTTTACACAACCCCATCGGGCCCACTGATTTTTTTGGGAGCGAATCATTTCACGAGCATGTGAGCGGCACAAGCAAAACTGTGCACCGGGTTTTGACAGCCAAGGGTCTCATCATCAACAATGTGGGTCTCGCTTGAGCCATCACTCGTGCAGCGCAAACACCGGCGAACTTTGCTTCGAACTAGGACCCCCCCCCCCCCGCTCCGCTATTCTAAACATCCACACAGACGGTTCCCCTAGCGTTCCAGGCTCCGGACTTTTGGTCGATCCAGCCCGGATTTTTTAAATCTCCCTGCAGCCTGATTAAGTTATTTTTTTATTTTTAGTTTTTTTACTTCTCACTGTATAGTCGCTCCCCCCCTCGTAAACCCCCCCTCGTACCCCCCCCCCCCTCGTATCCCCCCCCCGCCTCGTATTCGCCCCCCCCTCATATTCCCCCACCCTCGCACCCCCCCACCTCGTATCCCCCCCCCCCCACCTCGTATCCCCCCCACCTCGTATCCCCACCCCACCTCGTATCCCCCCCCACCTCGTATCCCCCCCCCACCTCGTATCCCCTCCCCCACCTCGTATCCCCTCCCCCACCTCGTATCCCCCCCCCCACCTCGTATCCCCCCCCACCTCGTATCCCCCCCCCACCTCGTATCCCCCCCCACCTCGTATCCCCCCCCCCCACCTCGTATCCCCACCCCCACCTCGTATCCCCCCCCACCTCGTATCCCCCCCCCCCACCTCGTATCCCCTCCCCCACCTCGTATCCCCTCCCCCACCTCGTATCCCCCCCCCACCTCGTATCCCCCCCCCCCACCTCGTATCCCCCCCCACCTCGTACCCCCCACCTCGTACCCCCCACCTCGTACCCCCCACCTCGTACCCCCCACCTCGTACCCCCCACCTCGTACCCCCCTCGTACCCCCCCCCCCTCGTACCCCCCCTCGTACCCCCCCCCTCGTACCCCCCCCCCTCGTACCCCCCCCTCGTACCCCCCCCTCGTACCCCCCCTCCTCGTACCCCCCCCCCTCGTACCCCCCCATCCACCGTACCCCCCCTCTCCCCCCCTCCCCGGCGTGGTGAATGCGTTGCCATGGCGACTGCCACGCCCACGTGCTCACAAAGGGCTCTCACCTGTCGCACCTGCGCCGTTGCTCAGGGCAACCCGGGCACGTGTTGCTCGACAGCGGCGCTTTTAGTCGCATGGCAGGCAGTCGCACGCAACGAAATGTAGCAACTGGTGGTTTTTTTTCTTATTATTATTTTTTTACTAGTGAAGTACCGTTGAGGACGCTTGGACACCGTTGTAAGGCACACGTATTTATTTATACAATGGTCGTACAATACTAGAGGGGTGTATCGGCCCCCTCACCCGGATAGCTGGGAATATTCTATTAGCTACCCCTGACCTATCCCTAGTCCTCCACTAACGGGGAGGCTATCTGGCCCGACACTGGTCAGTCGGGCTACGGTACCCGGAGTCCCAGAGTACTAACTCTGGTTCACGGGACCACGCCACTGGCTCGGTCCTGCGCGGCCCTGATAAGGGCGGCGTCCCAGGGGAGTCCAGGGCCTAGCTGGTCGGTCTTCCGTCTTCCCATATTTACTCTAAGACTGAACCCCGAGCTCTCTGGCTCATCCCCTTTTATACCCCCCCAGAAGATCACAACCCCCCCACGCCGCCCGGTGCGGACGTCGTTGCGGGCACCACCCCGTGTACTGACGGAGCCCCCGCACACTGTGTTTGTTATCCGTTAGATCCTATGCATACAGCCCTACACCAACAGCCCCTCTGTAACAGCCCTACACTAGCTCTGTTTGTCCGTCCTAGGGCGTACGCTGCAATATTAAAGATGTACATTTGCGTTTTGTTAGTAAATATCGAGGAGTATTTGAGCGCTGCACTGCATGAACTGTGCCCGAAACCACGTGACGTTATGTCACAGTGGCACTGTGTTTAACTATGGAAATTAATTAACCGCTCTGATGCTTCGTATTTCTTCCGCTTTCGCTCGCTGGGGTTGAAAACAATTGGAATTCGATATGTCTGCAAAGGGGCCGTCCATAAATGACGTCACGCACCTGGGGGGGGGGGGGGTCAGACATTTGTGACGATGTGTGACGAGGGGGGGGGGGGGAGTTGAGAAATGTGACGTCACATCAAAATGCGCAACTTTAAATAAATACTAGCTGTACTACCCGGCTTCGCCCGGGACTTGTATCTACCACGGCCGGCCGCCTTTGTCTCCCCAGTGGCGATGTTAATACGCTACAGTAGTTAAGTTACTCGTTTGAGGCAGAGTCGACCTAGGGGAGGTTCAAATAATCGTCACCGGTGGTGGCCGTGAGCGGGAATCGAACTGGGTTTGCCGGGTTGGTAGCGCAGCGTAGCGTTAAGCACTACACCCACCGCTCCTCACACACCACACACGCACAGACACACACACAGACACACACACAGACACACGCAGACACACACAGACAGAAACACACACACAGACAGCACGCTAACCACTACACTACCGCTCCCCACACACCACACACGCACACACACAGACACACACACAGACACACACACAGACACACACACACAGACACACACACACAGACACAGGCAGCACGCTAAGCACTACACTACCGTTCCCCCTACACAACACACGCGCGCGCGTCCATTGCTGCAGACACACACGACTTTCAGGGTGCATACGGCAGTAAACGACTGAAATAATAAACACACACAAACACATACACAATACACACACACATACATGCAGACACACAGACAGACACATAACACACATACATACACACACATACAAACACAGAAACACATACACACACATACATAGACACACACATACATACACACAAACACATCCACAGACGTACATACACACATACATACAGGCACGCAGACATACACATAAACACATACAAAAAAACCCACATACATACACACACACATACATACACACAAACACATGCACACACATACATACACACATGCATACAGACACACAGACATACACATAAACACATACACACATACACATGACCCGGCTTCGCCCGGGACTTGGATCCACCACGGCGGCAAAACCGACATACATACACACACAGACATACACACAAACACATACACACACATACATACACACATGCATACAGACACACAGACATACACATAAACACATACACATGACCCGGCTTCGCCCGGGACTTGGATCCACCACGGCGGCAAAACCGACATACATACACACACAGACATACACACAAACACATACACACACATACATACACACATGCATACAGACACACATACATACACATAAACACATACACATGACCCGGCTTCGCCCGGGACTTGGATCTACCACGCCCAGCCGCCTTTGTCTCCCAAGTGCCGATGTTAATACGCCACACCAGTTACTCGTTTGAGGTTGAGTGGACCTAGGGGAGGTTCAAATAATCGTCACCGGTGGTGGCCGTGAGCGGGAATGGAACTGGGTTCGCCGGGTTGGTAGCGCAGCGTAGCGTTAAGCACTACACCCACCGCTCCTCACACACCACACACGCACAGACACACACACAGACACACGCAGACACACACAGACAGACACAGACAGACACACACACACACAGACACACAGACAGCACGCTAAGCACTACACTACCGCTCCCCACACACCACACACGCACACACACAGACACACACACAGACACACGCAGACACACACAGACAGACACAGACAGACACACACACACACAGACACAGACAGCACGCTAAGCACTACACTACCGTTCCCCCTACACAACACACGCGCGCGCGTCCATAGGTACACATACACGCGCTTGCTGCAGACACACACGACTTTCAGGGTGCGTAAGGCAGTAAACGACTGAAATAATAAAGCGGCAATGCTGTGCGAGGAACGCCTTAGACCAGCAACACATTTGTGTAATGCGAGCGTAAACACACAAACACATACAAACACATACACACACATACATACACACACATACACACAAACACATACACACAGACATACACATACACACAAACACACACATACATGCACACAAACACATACACAATACACACACACATACATGCAGACACAGACAGACACATAACACACATACATACACACACATACACACATACATAGACACACACATACATAGACACACACATACATACACACAAACACATGCACACAGGTACATACACACATACATAGAGACACGCAGACATACACATAAAGACATAAAAAAAACCCACATACATACAGACACACATACACACAAACACATACATACACATACATACACACATACATAGAGACACACAGACATACACATAAACACAAACACACATACACATGACCCGGCTTCGCCCGGGACTTGAATCCACGATGCCCCGCCGCCTTTGTCTCCCCAGTGACGATGTTCACACACGACAGCAGTTACGCTTTTGAGGCTGAGTGGACCTAGGGGAGGGCCAGGTCCGTTTCAAATAATCGTCAGCGGTGGTGGGCGTGAGTTGGAATCGAACTGGGGTCGCTCAAGCAGCTTAATGACTGTTTGTACAAAGAACATATAAAGAATCGATTATAATAACCAGGCAAGAGTCCACATTATAGACTGCCAGTACACGCACTCAGCTTCATAAGCAGGCTAGAGTGTACATGATAGAGTGGCAGTACGCTCACCGAGCTTAATAAGCAGGCTACAGTGTACATGATAGACTGGCAGTACGCTCACCCAGCTTAATGAGTATTTGTACAGTGAACATTAAAGTAATCGATTGTTGGCGCGTTGGGTTTAAAAGTAATATTAATAGCACACATTGTGGTAGGGGTGTAGTGAAGAGTAGGAAAAACTTTGATGAATTTACCTCAGAGTGGCGTGGTGGGTGTCGAGGCCTAGTAGCGTGCAAAGCCTGCGGCCTCGCCTAAAATTGTCGGCTTGGAAGAGGCAGGGTACGGGTGGCGTTCCTTCCCCCCCCCCTAGCGCTCCAACAATACTGTGTAATGGCTATTATTTAATTAAATACGGAGCTTATGAAAGTGGCGAAGGCGTGGCTAGCCGTTGGCAGGGGCAACCGCCGTCCAATGAAACTGCAGCCCTTGGCGAAGGCGTGGCTAGCCGTTGCCAGGTCCAATGAAAGCGGCGAAGGCGTGGCTAGCCGTTGCCAGGGGCAACCGCCGTCCAATGAAAGTGCGTATGGGCCAAAGTCCACACACACACACACAGACAGACAGACATGAACGATTTTATATATATATAGATAGACAACACGTTCTACTTAATTAAATAGACTTGTTAATAAATGTTTTCTCCTACAACATCAGAGTGCAGCGGCACATTAAATACGCACTACAATGACAATAGTTTAACGCGATTTGAAGCATGTTTTATTTGGAGGGGGAGGGGGCAGAGCTTTGTGACGTCATATTTGAGGGGGGGTCTGACTTTTTGTGACGCCGTGTGACGAGGGGGGGGGGTCCAAAATCGTCCAAAATCGCGTGACGTCATTTATGGACGGCCCCAAAGTCACAGGGAAATGTTTAATGTAGCCTAAGTAGGAAGTGTAAAGGTAGACGTTCCTTTTTGTTTGAGGTGGCGAAGACACAAGGCAGCAAATGCACTGCGAAGCGGCGTAGAATAATTATTTATTGCCTAAACTTTGTATAAAGATACGTGAAATCGAAAGCGAATTAGCGAAAAAAACGTGTCATAGCCGGCAGGCACACGTGAATAATAATGAGGGAGGGGAGGCATGTCGAGTGACGTCACGCGCGGGACACACACACACAGCCTTTACTGTATTTTGCTCGTGATATTAGTTGCTGCGTTGATGTCTTTATTAGCTTCGCTTTGCATAAAGAAAGGGGAAATAAAAGGTTATTTGCGTCAACAAATTTTTTGTTTCCGCTCCACCTTGTTCATGGGGAGTGACGTCACGCGCGTTACACACCGACATGCTTGGCTCATTCTAGCACATTCCTGCGGAGGGAGCTGGTAGGAACGTTGGGTTGCTCGGTCAATGGCCAGGGTCAACGGCGGCGTGGTGTATTCCACAAATATGCCCGACTGAGCGCGGGCACAAGCCGGCGTGAGTAGGTTAAACGTTGAGTTTTATAAGAGCACCACGGGGTGACCAGCCCCTCCCCACCCAGCCCCTCCCCTCCCACACCCCACCCAACCCCTCCCACCCCCCACCCAGCCCCCTCCCACCCCCCACCCAGCCCCACCCTCCCCACCCAGCCCCTCCCCACCCAACCCAACCCAACCCCTCCCATGTTACAAAGGGGCCTTATAAGTAAAAAAACAAATATTAAAACACATTTTTTTAATTGCATAATAATTGTATTGTTTCATTTGCTATACAGCCAGATAATACGAGAAATCGCTAACCTTAAATAGTCGTTCGTAAAAGTTGAAGGCAGTATAGTACTATGGTAATAGAGCAAGTGTGGAATCACTGAACCGGAATTGATAGCTTGAAAGTGTAGTAGCTACTACACATATGTAGCTACTTTTACTGGTAGGAACCTCCTGGTTACACCGGCCCACAGGGGATTGTGTCCGTCGTGCAGGGAGGGGCTGGGTGGGGCTGGGTGGGGAGGGGCTGGTCACCCAGTGGTGCCCTTATAAAACTCAACGTTTAACCTACTCACGCCGGCTTGTGCCCGCCCTCACAGTCGGGCATATTTGCGGAATACACCACGCCGCCGTTGACCCTGGCCATTGACCGAGCAACCCAACGTTCCTACCAGCTCCAGGAATGTGTTTCTACGATGATAATCCGGCACTGCCCCCCCCCCCTCTCCATTGCTTCAACTGCCTCGCCGGGACGTGGAATCGAACCTGTGACCCTGGATCAAAAGTCGATCGTGCTTGCCACATCCCACCACGGGAACAGCACACGGTTTTGTCTTTGCATGTCAATAACAACCATGATGATACTTGGCGAGTAGATGATGGTTATATCTTGCTGCGGTTGTTGTTTTTGTTTTCTGTTGCTGCCGATTCTCATGACATTTTTTTGTTTACGGTGGTGGTGGTGGTGGCAATGGGTCGTCTTTTTCACACACAAACCAAAAAAAAAGAATTCCATCCACAAAATATTTATGCATCCATTTTTTTAATTGTATTACTATTATTCTTTACCAGACGGACGACGGAAATAATGAGTGAAACAATATCTTCCTCGTTTTTTTATATTATAAAAGTAAGAATGTTAGATCAAGTTATCGTGTAACCTGACGGTGCGTTGAGGTCAACGCGTTGATGACGCGTTGATTTCGACACGTGACAGTTGACACGTGACAGTCGACGCGTGCCGGTCGGTCAACACGTGCCAGTCATTCTACGCGTGCCGGTCAACGCGCCAGTCAATCCGTGCCAATCAACGCGTGCCAGTCAGTCAACGCGTGCCGATGCAGACACGACAAATGAACAGCAACAGCATGGGCCAAGCAGAAGCAAGGTGGGTAGGCGGGGGGGGAGGTTAGTCGGTACCACTCGGGGGGAATCGCTACCAGAATCCACCATGGGCAGAAGAAAGCCGAGCGTTCATTCGGAAGATTGCGTTCCATATGTACACACGCACACACGCGCGCACGCAACTCAATATATTCCTTTTCATACCGTCCCGTTAAGCGGGAGCGGCCACAGCGGTCGTGCGAAACGGTCGAAGCATTCGCCCCGCTTGCTGTTGCAGAGAGGTTGGCGGTTCGCATCCAGCAAGCCGCACCGGTTAATACTGCAGACGTATTAACTCGTAAAACTGCGTTTGCTGCTGCTGCTGCTGCGGCTATGCGCCGTCTGCTCAACTCACAGTAAACGCCAATGACCAACACCTCTCCCTCCACCACACCCCCTTCCGTGACATTTGAAAAAAGAAACCAGTAGTGGGGCCCATTGCGTGCTAGGTGTCCCGGGCCAGATTTTGCTATCATTTGATACAAAAAATTACCCCACCGCTAATTACAACATCGCCCTGCGCTCCTGCAGAATGTGCGCGTGTGTGCGCGAGAGATACGTCGCGCCTTGGCCACAGATTTCGCTCTATGATACCAAATGTGCTTACAATGATGCCGACAATGATGATGTTTCATTTCAGATTTACCCGCCTATAACAAGTCGATCAAACGATACACTGGGACGCTTCCTCCTCCAACGTCGTCTTTCCTCGAACAAAAAAACAAACCACGCCGACCTTGCTATCATAAATAATTCGCTATCTAGGAGATACAAAGCTTCAAGAAAATCATTGGTAGCATTGACCACCCCCAGGTGGTACCAAAAATCTATTTTTCGGGCCATGGGATTTGACATTTTTAGGAAGGCACAGATGGGGGGGGGGGGTCGCCATACAGAACCCCCATGGGGGGGGGGGGGGGTTGGGGGAGGCTTCTCAATTATTTTTTGAAGGTAAAGGTGCAGCCCCTGCACTTGCCTGCTCGCGCCACTGGCTGCCGGCGTTACGGGCCTCTCCGCTCAGGTGATCTCGACAGTTTCGACCTCGGGGAGGGCATTGCATTGGTCTACTCTTCCACGCCAGTCAGTTCGTCCTGGAAAGAGGTGGGGCGGCGGGGGGGGGGGTTACCCTCACTTTACCCCCCCCCACCGCCACACGCACCCACATGAGCGTGACCTTCCGAACGCCCGGCCGGGGGTGGCGGCATTTGACAAAGGTTGCCCGTCGTCGTGATCAGACTTCACACGACTCGCCTGCCCCGTGCCACGACATTGAACAGAGGCCGGTCGGCAATCTGGATTTAATTTAACTATATATATGTAATCTTCTCACCTTCCTTAACTCATTCCCGACGCGAGCATACTTGAGAGACAAGACCATCAACAAATCCTTACGTCATAGGTCCTGGGGTGGGGGGGGGGAGAGTCGGGGGGAGGGGGGCTAATCGATTGGGCGTGGAGACAATGATCGGTGCCGTTTTCGACATCGATTTCTTTTGATTTCCCCCTCCACACTCCCAGTGGTCACTTCCACAACGGTCACAGACGACGACGCCCAGAGAGGAGGGGCCTTAGAGGGGGCTGCGGCCCCCAGAGCCTCAGTCGTGGAAATTCCACATTCCTATGGCGGGGGTCGGCGGAGCGGGACAACAGCCTCTTCTCCCCCGCCGGACATTTACTGTCGAAGTCTCACAAAGTAGTACATCATTTACGAACTCCCGACGAAATGATGATGATGATGGTGTCGGTGTCAAAGCCCAGGCGGGGATTTGAACCTGTGACTCGGGAAGATGTCCATCCACAGCACAACGACGGTTGGCTTTCAACAAAGTGGTACTCAATGCGCACACTCCTGACGGACACAATTACGCTGGCGAGGTTGTAGGTTTCGTTCGCGAGCACCAATTAAGGTGGCCACGATACATGCGGGAGAGGCGGTGTGTGGCCAGTACCACGGACACACGGGACACCTTCGGCTTCCCGGCGCGTATACGTTCCACGGTGTCGCCGCGCTGCGCCACGGTGCTGCGTGGTCGATGCCGATTTCGCGCCGAGCCAACCTCGCCGCGGAGGTCCGATCCAGGTTTTTTTTTGGACGTGGCCACGAGTGGAACCCGAGTTCAGCAGGATGTGAGCACGTGCGCGCGGACATCTCCCCAACACACAGGTCCAGTCCAGTCACGCACGTCAGGCCAACAATGTCAGACCGGCGAACGAGGTTCGTCGTGTGGCCGGAACCACGCCCGGCCACTTTTCGTCTCTCCGGTGCCGATGTTTACACACCACGCCAGGTACTCATTTGAGGCCACGTCGACCTAGGGGAGGCCCAGGACCGGGTCAGATAATCGTCACTAGGTGGCGTTGGCCGCGAGCGGGAATCGAACCCGGGTGGTCGGGTTTCGTAGCCCAGCGCGCGAACCGCAACACACAAAACACTCGCACATTCACCTTGCGTCCTCCAGAGTGCGTTATAAATTCAAGTGGTTACTTAATCACTCCTCATTCACCAGGTCTCTCCTTCCACATCTCTCCTTCTCGTGTTTTTTATTTTGTACAAGGTGAGAGAATGAAGAAGCAGCAGCAGCACAACAACAACAACTACAAAGCAGAAACGGTCTCCGTGGCAACGAACGGCGGCACGATCCCGGCCCGAGGAGATGGAACGTCACCCGCCCGCGCTTCACTTCCCACCGAATATCCCCACCACGCAGGTCGACGGCGCGCAAGCGGCAGGAGGCACGGGCACAGCGAGAGAGAGACAGAGAGAGGAGGTATCAACTGGATGCGGTGCGTCGGGCGAGGGAGGGGTGTACGTGAAATTAAGCCGGAACCCCAAACCAAAACGCCACCGTCATGGGAATGTGTAACTTCTATAACCGGCTCGGGTTAGGCGGGACTCGCCGGAACGGAGAGAGGCGCGTGACGAGTGCGCAAAGGGAGCGGAGTTCCGTCGAGAGAGACTCCACTACTCGCCTGCGCGGGGGGTGGCATCGCGCCCGCGCGCCCCCACCACTCGTACGGCAAAGCGACGTCAAACAACGCAGCGACCGTCGAGAAAGAAGCAAAGGTCCTCATTCGTTCATTCATTCGCTGACAAGGGGGTCCCCCCCCTCCTCCTCCTCCTCCTCCTCCCCCCCCTCCTCCCCACCCTCCTCCCCCCCCTCCTCCTCCCCCCCCCTTATTCATTCATTGACCGCGAAATAACTTCGCAAAACTTTCGCCGCCACCGAAGTTTGGTATTTGCTGGCGGGCGCACGCACGGGAACGGATCGATTTGCGCTTCTTTGTAGCGAGTGCAGCTCCCTGCTGTACGTCCCCGCGGTCGTGCCGTGTTCGGCGCGACGTCCGACGTTGAGGCACTAGCGGCTCGCGTTGCTGCTTCGATGAAAGAAAGAAAAAAATAATTGCGTCGAGAAAATCTACATCAAGAACCGGCGCGGCCGAGTCGGCAGCGCCGTCTGAACGAGCGAGCGAGAGGGCGAACGAGCGAGCGAGAGGGCGAGCGAGCGAGTGAGCGAGGGAGCAAGAGGGCGAGCGAGTGAGTGAGCGAGCGGCTCAGTTCACGACGCAGCCCCAGCACGCGGAGCGGAGCGTGGGGTTCGTACGACGGCCAGCGGGGCGATGATGGGCGGGCGGGCGAGCAATGTCGCCCTCTAATACTGCGACACAGTGGACGACACCGACGCACAGACAAAGAGCACCATTTTTGTAAGGGGGGGGGAGAAAAATATCTACCGTGTTAGTTTTGCATCCATTAAACCATCCGCCAGCTCATATATGTCTATAATTATCATTATTATAATTCATATCAGCACGACTATCATTCACCGTATTCTCCCGCATCATAAGACGCTCCGGAGAGCGTGACCGAACCCACGTACAAAACTTGCGCCCGATGCGTCTATAAAGTTCAACAAATCTGGTCACGCACTCCCCCCCCCCAAAATTTTACTTTAAACTTCACAGGGGTGGGGTGGGGGGGGGAGCGGAGGGGTTGGTGCCCCTCGATCTGGAGAATGCGGGTATCAAACTGACACTCAGAAAGTTTGCCAAGCATCCACCGGGCCCGCAAAAGACGATTGTATCGCAGGGCGAGAGCTCACCTCGGACGTTGTTGGCCGGACGGATGGACGGATGGACGAACGGACGGACGGACAGACGGAGGGGATGGATCGACGGAGGGACAGAGACACAGAGCGACGGAGGGACAGAGACGAAGGGACGGAGAGACGTTTCTTGGCGGACGATGCGCGAGGGATGGGTAGAGGCCACGGCGGCACGGCCGCCGCTATATTTTTTTTTTTTCCCCGGAATCTTTCGCAGGGGATAATCTCGCACCCGGTTCTTGGGATCACCGGACCCAGAGCCGACTAAACTCCCGATGGACAGAGAAAAATACATCTAAATAACTCGGGACGTCAACATGCCATCCCACCCATCGCTACGATGACCTCTGACCTGCACCCCCCCCCCCGCCTCCCGCTCATTCGTTTTGCACGCGACGTACCGCGTCAAAAACAAAATCGATTTGGCAAATCAGCTTTGTTTCCGGTTTCCAAGCATAAGCCGTGCACCCCCACCCCATCCCCACCACCACGACTTGGCCTGCAACGCTGGAGCCCAACCTGCCACGAGAGCCACGCAGGTGACGGTGGTGATGGTGGTGGAGGAGGGAGCGATTGGCGGGCGTCGTGCGATGGCGTTCAACGATTGCCGGGTAAGAGCGAGAGGCTTGACACCTCGGACCAAGTCGACGCCGGTACGACCGCACGGCGAGCCGCGAGCGCCGACCTCGGTTCAGCAAATAACCACGGGCTCACCCACTGCCGCTTCATCCTGGCGATCACCTCTTTATTCCGTCCACCAAACGGTTAACACGCGCACGGGCACCCCCCGCCCTCGTTATCATCGTCAGCTCGCCCCTCCCGCGTCACATCCCAGCACCCCCCCCCCCCGTCCCTTCTCTCTACACCGTGACGAGGTTTCGGGGCGCGCGTCATAAATAATATTTAGGGGGGGGTGGGGGGGTTGTTGTTGTTCGGCTCCCCCACCAGTGTTGTTGGGTCGTGGTAGGAGTCGTCACCGTTTCTTCATTGCCATCGTCATCGTCACTGTGGTCGTCACTTCGTGGTCACAACCTCCTCTGCAGTCGCCATCGCTATCGTCGTCGTCGTCAATACCTTCGTGCGCAGTCCCGGTCATTAACGCAATTGTCGCTATCAACGTTGTTTTTATTATTATTATCATCGTCGTCGTCATGTTGGTCATCGCTGTCGACCTTGTCATTAACGATCGCAGTCCTCGTTATTGCCGCCGTCAGCCTCAGTCGTCGTCTGTCGTAATCATTGACGTCGTCTTCATAGTCGTCGTCATTGTCGTAAAAAACATCTCAATCTTTGTGGTCATTGTCAATATCATCGTTGTCGTCATCATCCTCAGCGCCATCATTGCTGTCATGCTTATCGCCATCCTCATCGTCACGGTCATCGTCATCATCCTGCTCCCGAGTGACATCATCGTCACATCGGTTGTGACCGCGATCCTCGTTGTCACCAAAGTCATCGTCGTCATCGTCGTTGTCATCGTCGTCATCGTCGTCATTGTCACCCCTTACCATTATCTACACTGTTAACGTCAACGTCGTCATCATCATGCCCATCATCACCATCGTCGTCATCGTAGTCTCAAGCCGGTCACGCCCGCGGAACTTTCCACGTAACGACGACGACCGCACGGAGGGCTCCTCCCCCCTCCTCACTGGGCCTTGTGCTTGCCGTTGAGCTGCCCGTTGGTGACGTTGCCGTTGGCGACGTGGTGGTGGTGGTTGTCGTCGTGGCGACGGCGGTACCCGTCGCCGCCCGCCGCGCCCGCCTCCAGCTTCTTGGGCGGGCGGAGGCCCTTGGTGTAGGCCTGGTACCAGAAGTTGAGGAAGAGGATGAGGAAGACGAGGCCGTAGACGAAAATTATGTAGAGGAAGATGGGGTAGTTGTAGGGGCAGTCCTTGAGGAAGAAGAACTGGGCGATATGGGCCTGCACCAACACGAACTGCACCTGTACGCCAAGAGGGGGTGGGGGGGGGAAAGGTCAACGGGCAGAGGTCACAAGCGGGAAGTCGTCGGTCCCATCGCGACCCTGCCGTCGCCTGTTGTATATTTGGAGTACGCGTGTTCTCTCTCTCCCTGTGGTCGCGTGGATTTTTTTCCCTCTGGGTCCTCCAGCTTTTTCTCCTCCAGATTTAGAATGAACGTCACGTGTTTTGAGTTATTCGACTGCTGTACGTTTACACGCGATAAGCCACTTCGTTGAGCTATCATTTGTGACCAGGTCGCTTCTGAAAAGAGCTTTACAGCTCAGTGGGCCTTGCCTGGTAAATAACAGTTGTATCTTCTTGGTTCTTTCCGTAAAGTCACGTAGAATGGAAATAATAAAATAAAAATAAAACATTAAATATTTTATTACCGAAAGAACCAAGAAGATGAATCCCTGCAGTCACAAAAGCTTTAAATCGAAACATAGTTGTAATCTTGATTTGAAGCTTTCGTGACAGCAAGATTCCATACTCTTTAGTTCGTTCGGTAAAGTCACGTAGATAGAAAAATCTAATTTAAATTAATAAATCACGACGTTTCGATCGCAACACAAGCGGTCGTCCTCAGGCGGAAAAAATAATCCAGCAGTGGAACTGCTGAACCAGCTTCCCCCGCTTGCTTGCCCATCACCACATCTATAACCTTGTTGTAATGGCTCTCTCGCGGGTTCAGCAGTTCCACTGCCGGATTATTTTTTCCGCCTGAGGACGACCGCTTGTGTTGCGATCGAAACGTCGCGAATTATTATTTTTTGTTTTATTTTATTTTTCTACCGACGTGACTTTACCGAAAGAACCAAAGAACACAGTTTTAGTAGTATTCAAGGTGCACCCACACACACAAAAAGACAAAGATCCCCCTTATAGCCTGAACAGACTGTTAAGGGCAAGTGCTGGTAGTAAGCATCTATGAAGGCCGGCAAGGCACACAAGGGGGTGGGTGAGCAGCACCACACCCGACCGCCTTTGTCTTCCCAGTGGCGATGTTTACACACCGCACCAGGTCATTTGAGGCTGAGTCGACCGAGGGGAGGCTCAGGACTGGTTCAGATAATCGCAACTGGTGTTGACCGTGAGCAGGCATCGAACTCTGGTGGCCAGGTTCGTAGCGCAGCGTGCTAGCCACTGCCACTACCGCTCCCCCAACGCACACAACAATAACAACCATTTGCCACTAAGTGGCGGTGACGTCACCACGGCGCTTGCGCCAGGCTGTGCGCACACTAAGGCCACGTGAAGTGTCGAACACCCGCCGGCAGGAGGTCACGGCCGATGCACCACCTGTGCAAACTTCCTGTGTTTTAGCCACCCGGCGCTCCGGTGTTGTTGCGAGTGTCACGTCTCTGCCCTCTGCTGTTGATGAAGTGTGACTGCCTCCAACTGCCCAGTAGCGTCCTTCACAAGCCTCCTCCAGAGGCCGATCTTGACACCGCTGGTACCAGTCGTCGGCAAGTCCACTCAGCTCCACATTTTCCCGGAACCACATCACTCCATCTCTTCTCCGCACACGTTTATCCCCCTCTATACGACCAAACAAAAGCTGTTTAGGCATCTGGTGGCTGGGCCTGCGGATTTCATGACCCAGCCAACGCAACCTTGCCTGCCAGAGGAGCTCACCGATGGGACTTTGTCCAGATCTTTCAAGGAGTTTTGAGCTCCTCACACAATCCAGCCTGGTTAAACCCAGGATGTATCGTAGGCATGCCAGCCTAAATGTTTCTAACCGGCGAAGATGTTCCATTAGGGGGGTCCACGTTTCACAAGCGTAGAGAAGGGAGGGCATGACCGTGGCCGAGAAGATCCCGAAGCTTCGTGTCGAGTGACAGACCAGGTAGCTTCCACACAGCTTTACGCAACCAATGAAGAGAAAACGCCGCGCACACACACGCGCACAGGTACGGGCGTGCACGTACCAGCTGGATGACGGTCATGTATTTTTTCCACCAGATGTACTTCTGGTAGGCGGGTCCAGCGGCGGCGAGTCCGTAGTAGCTGTACATGATGACGTGCACAAACGAGTTCACCATCCCGTGGAAGGAGCCCAGCCCACCTGCACGCGTTCACGCACACAAAGATCATGGGACCTCCTTTGCCAGTACCAAAATGTGGGAATAGGTTTTCCCCTTTTTTCTGGCAGCAAAACAGGTGGACCAATCGGTTTCAAAGACAATGCATATATTATCAGAGTATGTTTTTTGTTTGCATTCTGACCAAGTATTGTGGTTAATGCAGACATGATTCCTTGAAAAGGGTTTCAGTTTGGTGTTTTAACATCTTAACACCTGTTTTGTTGCAAGAAAAAATGGGAAAACATATTCTCACAGACAAAGATCCCCATATAGCCTTAACTGACGTTTGGGGCAAGTGCTGTGAAAGAGAGCATCTGCGAAGGCCGGCACGGCGCACGAGGGGATGGGGGGGGGTGTTAACACCACGCCTTCCCTACTGGCGATGTTTACACACCACACCAGGTGCTCATTTGGAGGCCGAGTTGACCTCGGGGAGGCCCAGGACCGGTTCAGATAATTGTCGCTGGTGTTAGTGGCCACGAGCGGGAATCGAACTCGGGTCGCCGGGTTCGTAGCGCAGCGTAGCGCTGACCGCTTCGCCACCGCTCCAATCCACGTGCACCCTGGTACATGCTGGGTTGCTTGTAAAGGTGGGTACGGCGCTTGTGGCGGCGAGGACTGGGTGGTGTGGCCGGATCGACGCACGCCTGCGTGTGCTCTTGTCCGCTTACACGTTCGAACAACAGCGGTCCTCCGACAGTCCAGTTCCGTGTTCCCGCAATTGAACGTGTAAACACCGTGCTGCGGATCTTCGCGAGCAGACTCAACGCGCCATTTTCAAAACGCAAATTTTATTTGCGCAAAAATATTTTCGATTTCCCGCTGCGATGCAGTTGTTTTAGTTCCGATTTCTAGGTCGCTTCATCGCCGTTAACGAGCTGTAAGCCGTCGCTCCTGGCTGATTCGGCAACACACGGATGGGGGGGGAGGGGGGGGGGTGCCGCTCGTGCGAACGATGCAGTTCTTTGTCCGTCGCGTTCTCACCACCGCGCCGAACGAAAATAAACTCGGAATACCCTCGCTGCACCCGGCGACCTGGAATCGAACCCAGGGGGTTTCATCAGCGCTCCATCAGCGGCTTCCCGGAGCCACTCCTGTCCCACCACCCCCCTCCCCCCAGAATCGGCGGTCGACAAAACCGATTCGCCCGACAGCGGGCAACACGGACGTCGTTGCGTTCGACGCAAGTTTATTCGAAGCAAAAAACATCGCGACGCTTTAAACCTTTCGACCACGGGCCGCCCCCCCCCCCCCCTACCTCTTGGCGACACTCACCGGGAGCAAACTTGACCCCGAACCACCAGGTCCAGGGCATGATGGTGTGGTGGTACACGTGCAGGAACGTCACCTGCGCATTCCTCTTCCGCAGGACGAAGAACACCTGCTCGGACCGCGCGCAGGGGAAATCGGGCAGCCGGGGTCAGAGGGGTCGCGGGGTCAGAGGGGTCGCAGGGGTCGCGGGGTTTGGGAAATTCTGCCTTAAAATGTTAGAATGGTTAGCATGGTTAGCGTTAGGGGTAGGGTCTGGTTGGCTAGTGTGGTTGGGTTTAGTATTAGTCTGGTTGGCAGGTGCGGTTAGTTTTCGGGACTGGTTGAATAGCGTGATTGGCCGGTGTAGTGAGCGGTCGGGGGGGGGGGGGTCCTCCTTATTCTCACCGTGTCGAGAAGTTCAATGAACTTTGAGAAGTAGAAGAGCCAACAGGTCCACGCCATCTGTGGGGGAGAGCGAGAGAGAGTGTGGGGAGAGAAGGGAGAGAGTGTGGGGAGAGGAGGGAGAGAGTGCGGGGAGAGGAGGGAGAGAGTGCGGGGGGAGTGGACAAAGGCGACTGTTAAAAGCTTCCGATGTACGGGCCTCCATGCGTACGTAAAATTGGAACGGGAAGGAGTTCTGTTAATTTCGCTTAACAAGCATGACCCACTTGACCGACTGCTCCGGTGTCTTTTCTCGCGCGCTGCTGAACAATAAACCCTCGATATGGACACGGACAAAACGCTCTCTAGATGATTCGAAAACACGTGTGCAGCCCTTTGCCTGCGTTACCGATGGATGTACGTACGTGTAGCGTTCCAAATTCGAGACACCAGTTGGAGGTACTCTATTTGCGGCCTTCGGGGATAACTCCAAACTGGGTCAGGACAGCCAGCACGCTGCCAGACCCACACGGCTGCAGAGTGGAGACGATCACGACGACGACTACAGCACGACCAGTTCCATTCCCTACCGCAGCAGCAGCCCCGACTGAGTCGGAGCTCGCCGCCTTATAGAGTGAAGGGCGTGGCCAGGCTGCACCCTCGCCCCCCCCCCGCCCCCCTCTGGATCCCCCAGATTGCTCCGTGCTTTGCCCACAGGTGCAACTCGTAGAACGGACTGTTACCCCCGATTCTATTGTCTGCTAATCGCCCAGCGACACGAGCTCCAGTGACTCATCCTACGTCACTACACACGCATGTTGAACTTCTCTCGCACCGTGCGTAGCCAAAGTGCTAATCGGAGGTGCGGGGGGAGGACAACAAACTAAACACAAAGTCCTCCTGAGCCATGGTCCGTGCCGGTCATTGGCGGGGGGGGGGGGGGCGGCGGTGGGGATGACCACGCTGGTTCAGGAGCCAAAAATGCAGCGACGGCTCCCACAATGCAATGTGGGCCGGGTCGTTGCTGACCACCGTGCCCCCTACTGGACACCCGTGAGAAAGGAAGAGCTTCATAGCTCATCGGATTCCAACCAGGACAAATAAAGACTTCGATTCCAGCGTGGCCGTGGGGAGCTCAGTATGGCCGTGCTGCCGCCAGAGGGCGCCACGTTGTTTCGTTTCTTCTCCGTGGTGGCGAGATCTTAACTACTTTGCCAGGTATGCAGGAGGTTCGTGGGTTCAGTCCCAATTGATGGCGGAGCCAGGATTTTCAGGTAGCAATGAAAAATGATAGAAGAGTTGTTGGTAAGTAAGGAGTTGTTAGTAAGTAAGGACTTGTCCCTTGCTTTTTATTCGACGCGTGTGCGGCGATGGCGCAGCCATCGATCGAGTGTCGAATTCGAACCGCGACGTGTGATCGGCATCGCGCTCGCTGAAGGTGAATGCCTTCAGGGAAGTCGTGCACTGTGTATACGCAACTGCGCACAATTCGTGCGGGAACGGACGTATGGGGGGGGGGGGGCGGGAGGGGAGGGGAAGGATTGAATTAGAGAACAGCTTTGCCGTTACTTTTTGCCAATTATGGACTCGGATTATTGTCCTATCATCTCAGAGTCCCTGGCACGTAATAATATGCTACACAGTGGCAGTGGGGGGTCGCAAAATTCCGATTTATTACTAATAAACCTGAATGATCCGATCGAAATCCCTAATTTCGATCGGATAATTGGGGGGCACGTGCCACCCCCCCCCCCCCCCCCCCCCCCCCCCCCCACTGTATGTATTTGGAGTTTGCATGTTTTTCCTCTCCCCGTGGTTGCGTGAATTTTTGTCCGATTCCTCCGGTTTTCCCCTCCGCATTTATAATCAACGCCAGTTGAGAGTATTTGGCTGCTATAAATGTCCACGTGATAAGAGACTTTGCCGAGCTGGCAATTGTGGACAGGTCGCTTCTGAAATGGAGCTAGCAAGCTCAGTGGGCTCTACCTGGCAGAATAAAAACGAGTTTAGGTTTTAGATTAACTTCTTTCGTGCGGCAGGAGCGAAACGTAACAGTTGTTGGAACGCGTTGTAGTTGAACGCTAAGTTTGTTTCAACCGATCCGAGGATTGCAGCGATACCGCCACGATGTTGATGGGGGCGGCGCGGTGGTGAGACGTTATCTCCCTCGCCTTGTATGCAGGAGGTTGTGGGTTCGATCCAGACCCCCGCGATGCCCGTATATTTGGAGTTGGCATGTTCTCACCGCGGTCGCGTGGATTTCTCCCCTCCACGTTCAGAATCAACGTATCTGAACCGGTGCCGAGTCTCCCTTGGGGTCGGACTCGGCCTCAAGTGGCGTACTTGCTGCGGCGTGTACACATCAGCCAAGGCCGTGATGTTGGCCACTCACCGCCAGCACTTGCCCCACCTGGCCTGCGAGAGGCTACACGGCACGGGAGGGGATCTTTGCCTTTTGTACGAGCGTCAGCGAACACGGGCAAGCGGAGTGGGAGGGGGGGGGCTAATAGACTTTGACGTGTACATCTTGACCACTGGGCAATGCTATAAAAGGGGGCGTTGGGGGTCCGCGTTGTCGAATGCGACGACGGATCCTCGCACGCGAGACGACGGACACAGCCCGGGATTGTCTCCACCGCTCCACACTCATCGGCATCCTCTTTAGAAACTCCGCCACACCTCAGCCAAACCAAAGCCCCCCCCCCACCGCTCCCTACCGCCCCTCCCCCCCCCGCGGCTCAGTCAGAATTACACAACAAGCCACCACCACCACCACTACCCCTTCATTTATCTGCCAACTGCACCCTACCCCCTCTCGCCTACCCCACCCCCCCCCCACGGCTACAACCACCGACGAGCCAAATTAAAAAAAAACTCCGAAACAATCAATTCTTTCTCGCTGTACCGGAAAGAGAGCAACAGACTCCCCTCTCTATGTTTTATATATTTTTTAAATTATTATTTAGTGATGAACCCCCCCAACCCCGCACCCCCCCCCCCCCCACCACCACAACCCCCCCCCCCCCCGCCCTCCCCAACGTGAATTCCGTGCCAAACGAGTCTAAAGACAGTGCATGGCTGTGATCAAAACAAAAAAAAATCTACCGCGGGCTGCCTCGGCCAATCATCACCACCACTATCCCCGGGGTCGATAAAATAAACACCACTTTGTGTGCGGGGTAGGGGGGGGTCAACAGGCGGTTGTCATCCCCATTGATACGTTTGCCCCCGGCGTACGAATAGTCATCCAGCAGTGGAGTGATGGTGGTGCTGTAGATTATTTTCACTGCGATTGTTACGACGAAGGACGGCAAGATCGATCGCCGCGGTGCATCGACACATTGATCATCTCGCTTCCCCGGGACTTGCGTCGTAAACAACAACAACAACGCAAAGAGAGGCCCGTCACGAAACTGCGACCGCTGGCAACTTCCCTCGGGAAGCACCGACAACCATGGCAGCGCCTCAAGACGAACCCAACTTGCCATGTCCCAAAAGGATCGGCCCAAGGACATCGGGAGACATTCGAGAAGGGAATTTTTTCGTTAGTTATTGGCAGTGACAGGCGACATCCTAAATATGTCATAAAAATCTCTCTCGCTCGTATCTCCAGATTCCTTGGGCCGATTCTGCAATAACGGACGCCCCTTACACCCCCCCCCCCCCACTGCCCCCCCCCCCACCCCCCGTCTCACGCCAGCGCGAAGCAATCTCACATAAACCACCCACCCACCCCACCGGCCTGCACACCGGGCCGTGGCAAGCGAGGCAACGATTGCCAAGAGATGGCGGTGGTAACGGTGGCAGTGATGGTGGCGGTGGTAGTGTAGTGGTGGTGGTGGTTGCAGCAGTGGGTGGCTGTGATGGTGGCAGTAGTGGTGATGCTCGTGATGACGGTAGTAGTGACAGCGATGGTGGCAGTAGCGATGGTGCAAGTGGCGGTAGTGGTGGGAGCATTGATGGTAGTGGCGATGGTGGCGGTAGTGGAGGTGGCATTGGTGAGGGTTGTGATGGTGGCCTTAGTGGCGGCGAAAGTGAAGGTGGCAATGGTGGTGGTTGGAGATGGTGGTGATGGTGGCGGCGATGATGGTGGCGGTAGGAGTGGCAGTGGCGGTGGAGGCGACGCTGCCGTGAGCTGGCTCAGCAGATTACTCGCTAATCGGCTCCTGGGCTCAAATCCCAGCAGCTCAGTCCCCCGCCCCCCGCATCGCCACCCCCCCTCGTGCCCCCGCTCCATCTAAAGCTAATTAGCATCCCTCTCCTTTCATTCACCCTTCGCTTTAGATCCTTCACTCAATCCTTCCCCCCCCTCCCCCCCCCCATACGTCCATTCCCACACGAGCGCCACCCCCAACGCGGTTTCGGCGAGTCCAAGCGCAGCGCGGGTTCATTTTTGTACCGGTTCCCGGGTCTCCCCTAGGTCGACTCGGCCTTGAACGATCACCCGGTGCGGTCCGTGTAAAAAACATCAGTACACAGGGGAGACAAAGGCGACCGGGGGTAGGTCGTGTCACACCACCCCCTGGTAGGCATTACCGGTCTTCACAGGTTGCTCGGTAAGCACACTTTCCCTGAAGGTCTGTGTTGGATACATCATGTGCGCGTGTGTCACTCACCCTGACGGCCTGTGGAGAGTTTGAGAAGTCGACGAGGTCACACCGGTACGTGTAGCCAGTAGCCCAACCCGACATCAGGAACTGGAGGGATGCAAAGACCGACAAATCTCATGAGTTTGTGTTTGCGTACAATTCTAAGTGGCCTTATTATGGATGATCCACCCCATGGCAGGCCCACGGGCCTCTCCCCGAGGGCTTTTCCCCTCGGGCCCAAGCACCTCTCCCGGCCTGGTCATTAAAAACGCTCAGTATTGGACCTTATCTGGTAAAATAAGTAAAAATGTTTAGTTTAAAATAATTGTTTAGTTGTCACGTGGTTCTGTGGCCACGTGGGCCGACGTCCTCCTGCCATGTAACATCGACGTACATACACGTGCAATCATTTAATTAATTAGTTATCTTACGTATAGCCTGAATAGACTGTTGGGGCAAGTGCTGTTAGCAAGCCACCTTTGAAGGCCATCATGGCACACGAGGACGTGGGTGGCCAGCACCACGCACGGCCGATTCGTCTCCCCCAGTGGCGATGTTTACACACCGCACCAGGTACTAATTTGAGGCCGAGTCGACCTAGGGGAGGCCCAGGACCGGGTGTTGGCCGCGAGTGAGCGGGGATCGAACTCGGCCCGCCGGATTCGTAGCGCAGCTGCGTCTGCTGCTACACTACCACCGCCCCCCCCGCCCGCCACTCACCTCGTAGCACAGGTAGATGGAGAAGACGACCATGGCGGCGTTGTAGGCGACGAGGGCGCCCTTGAGCTCGAAGGGCTTGCGGTTCTCCATGAGGCGCGGGCCCAGGCGCTTGACGAAGTAAACGTAGGCCGCCAGGATCACCGTCTGCAGCAGCGGCGACGACATGAGCGGCCAGTCGGCCACGCGGGGGTCTGGTGGGGGGGGGGGGGGGGGACACGTGCAAGAGTTACGGAGAGACACGGGGATCATGCGCACGCACGCGCGTTTAGTATTGCGATGATATTTTATGGAGGTGTTGGGTGGGACACGTGGGATTCGTGTGGATGGACACGGGACGCATGGAGAGACGTGGAGGTAGCAATGGGATTCGTGGGGGTGCTTGGAGACTTGGACAAAGATCCCCACCCCCCCCGATTGCCTTAACAGACCTGTTGGGGCAAGTGCTGTTAGAGAGTAGCAGCATCTATGGAGGTCGACACTGTGGCACAAAAAAGAGGTGGGTGGCCAGCACCACGCCCAGCCGCTTTTGTCTCCCGAGTGGCGATGTTTACACACCGCACCAAGTAGTCATTGGAGGGCGATTCGAAATAGGGGAGGTCCAGGAAAAGTTCAAACTATCGTCACTGACGCATACACACGGCGAAAATGGAGATGGACACACGGTAAAATGGTGGACGCACGTACACCGGTGACGCATGTACGAGAGTCTGTCCTGGTCCTCCACTAGGTCGACTCGGCCCTAAAAAAAACATGTCACATCCATCATCGACGCCTATCGATCCGGCTCCTCCGGCGTTTACCTGCATCCTTGATCCAGTTCTGGTATGCCCTCGTGGCGTCGGCGGTGAGTGCCGTGAGCATGGCTGGACCTGGCTGGACTGGACTGGACTCTGCTGGACTGGACTGGACTCTGCTGGACTGGTGTTGGAGTTGGCTGGACTGGATTCAGCAGGACTGGACTGGACGCGACTTGGTCAGTGCTGGGGCAGCTTCAAGCCGACTCCGGTCCGATCACGTTGGGACGAGAAGAATCCCGACGGGCTTGGGATGGACTGGATTGACACGGCGTGGTCTCTGTAGGCACACAAAAAAAGACAAAGATCCCCCATATAGCTTTAGACTGTTGGGGCAAGTGCTAGCGAGTACATATGAAGGTCAGCACGGCACGCGAATGGGTGGGTGGCCAGGACCACGCCCGGCCGCCTTTATGTCCCCAGGCTGCGATGTTTACACACGGTACCAAGTACTCATTTGAGGCCGAGTTCACCTAAGGGAGGCCCAGGACCGGTTCAGATAATCATCGCCGGTGTTAGCCATGAGCGGGAATTGAACCCGGGTCACCGGGTTCGTAGCGCAGCGCGCTAACCTGCTGCACCACCGCTCCCCACAGGCGCAGACACACGGACACAGACACACGGACACACAAGTCGTCACGATCAGCAGCCGCGGCAACAGAAGCCGTGGCCTATCCACTGCTGGATGAAGGCCCCGCTCAAAACCGCCGCCGTCCCAGCCCCGCAGCGTGGCGATTCCACACGGCCTCGCCGCTCCATCTCCGCGAGACCGGCGGTCGCTCTCTCCCGGATGTGTTCCATCCCCTTATTAGGGCGCCACGGTGGCGAGATGTTAAAGATGTTAACTAGCTCGCTCGGTATACAGGAGGTCGTGGATTCGATCCAGACCCCGACACCTGTATTTATTTGGCCGCATGGATTTTTCTCCAGGGTTCCTGCGGTTTTTCCCCTCCGCATTTCGGATCGGCCGCGGTAAATTTCCACGTGACGACAACCCCACTTTGTTGAGCCCATCAAATTGTGGCCATGACGCATTCCTGCCCGAGCCGCACCCCATTTCGCTTTTGCCCCCAACGAGCTCGGGATGACGTTGTCAGGTCTGCACGGCAACGCCTCTCCCCGCTCCCTTCTGCACCAGTCTCTCCCGGGGAGCCCTCCTGCCCAGATCGACTTTCGTAACCCCGGATTGAGTACCGTAGTGTCCCGGTTCGAGAGTGCCAATAACATCGCCATTGGGAGAGACAAAGATGGCCCCACGGGGGGGGGGGGGGGGGGGAAGCACGGTTCTGACCACACCACCATCTCCCTTCCCGCGTGTTTGTTGCGCGACGGCCTTCAGCAGGTGCTTGCCAAGAAGCGTCCACCCACAAGCCCGCACTTGACCGGCGTGGTGAAGTACGGTCAAACGAGTACACCCGGTGACGGGGCACGCGGGAGGGGCTTTCGTCCAGCGGTGGATTGACGAGCAGATGTACAGTGCACGGTTACATAACCAGGATGGAGGCAATGATAAAGCAAATTGAGAAATGCACTTTTTTTTGGAGAAAACGGCCCGTGACACACAAATCGCCAGGAATGTGCCCGATCTGGTGGCGTCTCGCAAGCCAAAGCAGAGTCGAGCCCGAGATCATCGTGCACGGGACGGGTGCTGGAGGCGGCGGCTGCTGCTGCCGCTGCTAATGCACGCCGGGTACACGTGCGGCAGCCAGAGGGCGGTGCGGCACAATTCATTCAATTTATTTTTTGAGTGACCACTTGCTCCCACCCCCCCTCTCCTCCCCCCCACTAAAGGAGGGCATCTCAACAATGCGCAGTGGACATTGAACGGATGTAGTCCAGACCTATAAAATAGAGATGCACGCATTTTTAAAATATATAAAAATGAGGGGGTGGTGGAGGGGACGCAAGGAAAAATCTAAAAAAAGGAAAGAATGAGGCCTTGGCAGAGTTTGACCGAACTGCTCGGCGCTCTGCGGCCAAATCGGAGGGCCGGCGGTCGAGCGATCCAGATTCTTAGAAGCCACAAAGTCGAGAAGGCCCCGGGACACACCTAACTACCGCCCAGCGCGGAGCGGCGAAACATTCCAGGTTGTGCTCGCAGGGCCTGCGGCCTGAGGAGCGCAAGGTGTGCATCTACCAGTCATACTTAGTTCTTTCGGTAAAGTCACGTAGGTAAAAAATGAAATTAAAATTAATAAAATTAAAACAATAAAAAACTAAGAATCACGACGTTTCGGAGGCAACACAAGTCTCCGTCATCAGGTGGGACTGTCACAGCCAGATTTTACCTACGTGACTTTACCGAAAGAACTAAGAGTATGAATCCTTGCAGTTACGAAAGCTTCAAATCTAGAACTCTGCAAGTCATTGCAGGAACTTCCGCTGTGTGCGATAGCCGACTGGTTAGCCAGTCGGTGTTAGACCGTACATTCCACGCTCGCTCCCAAGTCGACGCTCCCCCCACCTGCAAACCTGCACCCCGCTCACCAGAGCGGTGAAGTATGGTCAAATTTTTACAGAGGAGACCCCCCACCCACCCACCTCTGCACGGGCGTGAAAAAAAGGTGGGGGGGGGGGCACTCCTCATCCAGCAGTGGATCGGACACGGCATTTGTCCCCCCGCAGCAACGCCACCGCGCCCAGGCCGCTTCACTCACGGCGCACGTTAAAGACCTTGCGACGTCATCAGCAAGGGCGTGGTGGTGGGAGGGGGGGTGGTGGTGTTGGTGGGGGTGGTGGTGGTGGTGGGAGGGGGTGGTGGTGTTGGTGGGGGTGGTGGTGGTGGGAGGGGGGGGAAGAGGGGGTGGTGGTGGTGGGAGGGGGGGTGGTGATGAGGGTGCGACAGTGCCGCCGTCCAATTTTTTTTGGCACGGTTTTAATAATTCCACCGCAGCTTTATCTTAACTGGTTTGGGAGACCAATCACAAACCGCGACAATAGTAATACTGCTGCTGCTGTTCCACGCCACCGGCTTCACTTCACGGCGGCCGTCAAGGATGCCGTGACGCCATTCGCAAGAGTGCCGGCGGGTGTCGTGGGTCCGAATTTTTCACAAAATTGTAAAACGCCGCCGCCGATTGTTCAACCGGGATCACGCTGCAGAGCGAGTCTCCCAAGTGGTAAAATCCATGGTGTTTCTTTTTTTTCTTGGGGTTCAATCGCGCGAATTATAAAAGTTGTCGTTAAACGCGTCGCCGCCCGGCACAGCCAATAAGTTATCTGGTTCAGCACGAACCGGTTGTGTGCGTGGGAGAATAAACTCACAAGGCGTCTCTGGTAATTACAACCAGCCTCATCAGGCGACTGCCAAAAAGCTGGCGGGTTTAGCGGACACTTTCTCATTTACGCGATCAAACCCAGCAGAAACCTATTGTGGACAAATACCAGCTCGCGAAAGCCTACGCGTTAAGCGGAATAATACAAATAACATTTTATTTAAAAAAGAAAGTCAACTCGCGAAACCCTTCGAGCACAGCTGCCGACGAAGCCACCTGTGTATGTATGCTGAACTTCTTTCGTGCCGTACGTAGCCAACCGTGCTCAAAAATCGGACGACAAACTAAAACGCAAAAAAGTGGTTTTAAAGAAATGAGCAACCTGCCGTGCGCGAGCGGGCAGGCGGGTGAGCGAGCGAGCGGATGAGCGGGGATCATCACACCGCTGCCGCTGCCACCTCCACCACCGCGGTGGCGTGCCGGCGAGCCCACCGGAATTGCGATGCAGGAGGTCGCCGGTTCGACCTCTCGTCTCCCGGCGCGGCTGTTCGGTTGAAACAGCGCCCACTGTCCAACCAGCAAACGGCTTCACCGCGGTTATTCTACGATCGGCGGGGTCGCGTGGAGCGTGGGATACTCTCAGCTTTTCCAGGACGTATTGGCACGCAGCGTGGGAAGAGTAGGCCAAAGGGTACCCTCTAGGAGGAGGGGCTCTCTACGGTTTTTCGAGTTGTGGGGCGCGAGTAGGAAATTGCAGAGCTGTGCCTATACCCTCTTACGTAGTGTGGATTAATGAAGAGGCGTGTATGTTGCGCTCTACAGCGTAACGGGGCTGTCCCGGTGCGGCACGAGGCAGTTCAGCACCTGCGCCTGGCTTGATGAAAGACATCAGCCCACCCGAAGTGGTGGGGGGGAGGGGGGGGGATGAATAATTTCGTGAGTCATTTCTTACATTTTTTTATTTAGTTATGGAAAGCCAGGAGAACCCAGGAGGAAATGCACGCAGGGGGGGGGGGGGGGACCAGGGCAAGTCATTTGCAAGATTGACTGGGTGCATCAAGTCTGCTAATAGAGAGGGGTGGGGGGGCAATTGCTGCGTAATCCCAACCTAATAACTTGCGGAGTCGTTTTACCAATTAGCAAAATTTGGACCGCGAACACCAGGCCCACTCGTCGCGAATGACATTGTGGGATCTTTAAAACGTCGGCCGCAGCAACCGTGGCATTATTATTAAAAATCGCCACCACTTGGTGGTCGTTACGCGGCGCACACTTAACCAGGTCGGCCGGTAGATTCGTACCGCTAAGATCTCCACGGCGGCGGCAGCGACGGGCGGGGTGGGGGGCCCTTCCTGCTGTGGAGGCGCCAGCGGTAACCTGCCTGCGCCACCCTGCTGGCAACCCCCCAAAGTCCCCCCCCTCCCCGCCAGCGAACAAAGTTTAAAACGGGAGCACAGCAAATTAAAGAAACCATACGAAACTTCTTAGCGCAGCTGTAGAACAAAAGGGGCACTTTGTATTTTTCCAGCGTTATTTATATGACGAGGTTCTCATTTCACGGCGTGCTTGAGATTTAAAAAAGCTGAGCCTCTCTCCCTAAGCCGGGCAGCATGAGAAGATCTTAAGGGGGGGGGGGGAGGAGGGTTGCCAGATTTACAGCAGGGCTTATGCCGGCTACTTTTCTTGGAGTTTTAATTAACAATGTAATTAAAGTGTACACGGCAAACAAGTTTCAATCGCCTACGGCACATAAACCCACCCACCATTAAAATGGATTCGGCCAAAACATCCCAATATTTGGGCCAGCAAATGTTAAATTTCGATTTAAAGCTTTCGTGACTGCAGAGGATGCATCTTCTTGGTTCTTTCGGTAAAGTCACGTAGAATGGAAATAATAAAAATAAAACATTATAAAATAATTCTCACGACGTTGCGGCCACAACGCAAGCAGCCGTCCTCAGGTGAAGAACAGGTCTGTCAGAAAGACAGCGTCTGAATGAACACCACCAGGCTTGACAAAGGCGCTCTTCCCCCTCCAACCCAGCTTAAATGTACGCTGCCAAGC